TGAATTTGATGCGCATCAAAGGAAGTTAATTTTATTTAGTTAACTTCTATATTTCTCCGTAGAACAATACATACACTGATTTCACTTTTCCGTATCTCTGTCTCTTTCTCTCTCTTCCTCTATCTTTCTCTGCCTCTGTTTATCCATCGACCTCTCTGCATTGACAGTGCCTCTGTCTCATTTTCTGCTTGCCCAAATCACTTCCTCTATTTTCTCTATGTCTGTATATCTTTGACATTAAGCACGCCCTTTTCAATGATTGACAAGAACAGTAATTTTAATAAACGCCTCGTAACTTGCACTAAAAAACATCAAATTATTTTTGTTTAAATCGGCCAAATATCAACCCATAGCGATTCAGAATTATCTAAAGGTCAGTATGAATCAGCTTTTCCCAACAAATTGGCCACACAAATAGTTGTGTTTTCCACTATTTAATAGTTAATACAAGGAAAGGAAAAAATTATATTAAATGAAACAGCGTGAATGAAAATTACCAAAATGTAATGAATGAACTGGAAGTTTTCTAATTTGTACATGAAAATATAACGATAATGAAGTTCAATCTGCGTTGCCAATTTAGTGACTTTAGTGATTATTTTCGATTAAGTCACTCTTGTTTATGAAAGGCAAAATGCACTGCCATGAAAAAGGACACACATTTTCCTGGGATTTTTGCACGTTTTAGAGCCTTGTGAATCAAAGTATAACGTCACTATAAGTGTTATCAAAAATGCTGTGGGTTGATCTAAACATGAACGTTCATGAGCTGAGCTTTCTTTGTAGGACTCTATTTACCCGTGAAAGTATTAATTCGTGTTCTTGCTAGAGAAAAGGCACTTACGACAGCCAAGAAAAAGACTATCGACAGAAAACAGTGCCTGGTTGATGCATCTATATCCTTTTCTAAAAGTAATTTGTCAAATTTAAACCGTCAGAATGAGTTCTTTTAAAGTATATTTGAAAGAAAGAGGTTATTCACAGGCCCCCCCCCAAAAAAAAAAATTCTCAAACGTTTTTGCGTGTTTTATCATCTTTTCTATGATGATGATTATAACACTTCACGGAAAACGATTATCCACCTAAATTCATTTAATTGTAGACTCTTTTTAAAGATGAATACGTGTTTTTTTTTCCCCCGAAGCGGCAAACCTGATAATTTTCCGAAAAAAAATCAGCCATGAAACAAATCAAAATACATCAAGATATTATTGATTGTTTTGTATACAATTCATCTTGTAGTAACCATTTACTTAGGTGCTACTGCCCTCAGAGACTAATGTTTAGATACGAGTCCCAATATTGCACTCTGCTTATGGTATTGATCTATTTAATGTTCCAATGTTCTTTTTTTCTTTCTCTTTACAACATACAACTGTAAAGTTTTTACCAACAAAAGGTGTGCGGTATAAACGAAAAATGTGATACAAATTATTCCACTGTTTAAGATATGACAAAGCTTACTTGATGTCTGCTCAATAACCTAATTCGTAGGTGGAATATGCATGTGCACAAATAATAGGAACTGTACCTAATTGTAAACAAAGAAAAGAAAAGCACAAACAAAACAAAGAGAATCATGAACAAACAATATTCAATAATTTTCAGTAAATACTTCAAAGGGGGGAACTAAAGCGTTCCATGCAGAAACCGTATTATTTTGGAAGTGATTATAATTGCACTATACCATGACAAAATCTTCTGTGAATATTGATGGTCATGTCATACCACGGATTAACTACAGAACCAAAACCACAACTACATTTCCCCCAAAAAGAAAGGGTCACTAAATCCATTCTTGACAATTTAAGTGCCCTTTATCTAACAATAACAGGCAAACGGATTTTAATTTTCGATGGGACGTGTTTAGAAAAATAAAAACACTCTCAGCAGTTTCATTCAACAACCCCGTCGGGACAAAAAAGGTTGTTAGGTACCAGACGTGGGAAAGAATTAAATAATTTGACATGTTTCACAAATTTTACCCCGATAGGGCCGACACGTAATTGACCAACCAAAGTATCAATAAATTGGAATTTTAGAATGACTTTCAGAATGGATCATAATTATCATGTGATTTCATAACATCGTTTTCAAATTTGATTTGAAAAACAAAATCGTCCTTTCATATTTTCTAGCCGCTGTAACAAACAATAACAGTAGAAGGGAGTTCACTCTATTTTTGTTTTATTAAATTTGTTTCATACATTTCTTTACTCACTACACGTTTGTCCTAAGTTAAACCAGGGAGGTGATATCCCCTCCCTGGTTAAACTAAATTCCTTCCTTTTTGAGATGTATTCTGTTTACGTTATCGTCAATTTTTCATAGGTTTTACCACTCTCGTCCATTTCAAAGTGCAAGTTTGTAATTATAGTTTCTATCCGTTTGGATGTATAAGAATTTTAACAGGTCTTTTGGATACCCGCTTATTATCCGTTTTAACTTACCGAACTAAAATACACCGTACCGTTATGTGATATATCTTTATAAGCTGCTTTTTATTGAATTTTAATTGTTTAAAAAAAATAAGGATTGTAAAAAAAGAAATCCTACTCTCATTGTAGTGACGCCCCGGAAATCCGGACATAATCAGGACATGCCTTTGTGGTTTGCGACGACAGCAAAGAATTCCCATGAAGACCTCTTGAAAGTTGGGGGTGTTTTAGACCATAAATGATCGGATCTACTACGCTGATGGCCGTAAGACTCACTGTGGCATACGGGGTCGACAAACTGTCACCGGAAATGATGATATTCATGCTACTGGCGAATTAAACAGCATTTAAAGACACAGACAACCGTGAAGAGATTCTTGGTAATCATGATCTTCTTTTGGTTATTGGCTTTGATCATGGGTGGACGAGATCCGGGAGCTGCGGATGAATTATTACTCTTTCGTGCCGCAGTTAAGCTTGAACCGATGAATTAATTTTCTGCAAACCTGTCCGGAACTTCCTGTTGTGTTTCAAATCATGACGCAGAATTAGACAGTAAAAGGTAAAGATTAAAAAAGGGCAATTGTTATAAAACTTGAAGAATCAGGTAATGAAAAGGCAGAGGATTTGTGTCTTTTGAAGAACACATGTCGCAGTACCCCGCATACCTAGAGTCCCAAATGCCGAGAATGATCATAAATGAGACTGCGTCTATTAAAATAATCACCTCTTTGTGGCGATTCTTTTCGGAGTATAGATGCATTGACGGCCGCGGCCAGACCTCGTGATGACGTTTTGATAATGAATGTTTTAGAAATTGGTGCCACCGCCCTCACAAACATGTATTGAGAACACGTTTACATCCAAATCTGCTTATAATTTAATAATCTATATAATGAGATAAAATCTGTGGTTTGATCAAACATTCCACAGAATTGTGGAATTTTTTACAAAAAAAGAATTCGTAACTAATTCTTTCGATAAAATCTTCTTTTCCTCTGTTTAAAATATTTTACGAAGATCTTGACTGGCTTACTCACTAAGCTTGCACAAAAAGATATATGATTTATTTTGTTGTAAGCCATTAAGATGATCTTCCTTCGTATCAAATGATACAAAGTTTCAACAAAGTATTCCGATATAACCACTGAATTGTGTGGTTTATCGATATCGGCACTGAAAGAACTAACATCTCACAACTTTGAACGTGTAGGATTTATTGAAACTCTTTCATTCCGCTCGTACGAAAAAGAAAACAAATCTTATTGATTTGTGTTGATTATATTTCTTTTTGTTTTTATAAATATCTAAATAATCTACATCATTATTGGTATTTAAGCGAAAATTATTATACAAAACCAACAATAACGTTAAAAAAAGAAGTAGGCAAAAATTAAGACCTGCTGACCACATTACTTTCATGTATTACCGCCGATGAGTTTATAGGGACTACTGATACGACACAACCACGTCTCGCAAGAAGCAAGTGGTCACTTAATCCCTTATTGTAAAGCTCAGGACCTTACTTACAATAATGGGAGAACTGATTTTCGTCTATTTTGGAGGGGACGTATTTCGAGAGAAAAAAACATTGATACAACCAACGAATTCAATTCGTCTACCTCCGTCGGGAAAAGTCTTAAAATGAAACGGAAGCTTCCAAGCGACCAAGTAGGAACAATTACATATATTTGTTTGTGTTCTAAGGATTTTATTCTGGCATTCATCAATCATCAGTCATGTTTTACGCATAATGTGACTTATAAAAGATAGAATTGGGATTTTCTTTTCTCAAAATAAATACGTTTACTACTCTCAAAACTCACTCAAAGTTGCAATGTCTACTTGCAAATAACATATAGGCAGTATCAATTTCTATTATTTCAATTCATTAATGCTTGTTTTTAAATAGGTCGTACATCAATTAAAGAAGAGAAGCAAAGCTTTTCGTACATGTACATCTCTTCAAGGCGAAAATTCATCATTTGAAACGAATTCGGTCTCGTTTTTCTGGGAAACACTGTATAGATTATCAGTAAATTGGGTGTTAATGAGTTTCATGATGTGCAATTTGTGATGTCATCAGACATTTCTGAAATTTGAATGTTAAAAATCTTCGTTAAATCAATAGATTATTTTCTTATCACGTTAAACCTCGTCAACATACAATAACGTAACAAACTAACTGAATTTATGTATTTAGAAACATGATAGATACATGTCTAAAATCATTAACAGTATCCTTAGTCGTTTTAAGCCTTATGTTTTAAACTTATTTTATCATATTGGTTTTAATGATCTGGTTTGCTTAACTATAAAAGGTGTAAGTTTGTAAAAAGACTTTCATTCAGGTAAGATGAATAAAAATTAGAATTTGGATATACATTTATTAACCGTTTTACATTTCCTATAATACACCGGAAGATTATGTAGAACACGTTATAATTTGAAAAATTGTTTTCTATTATTTATTGTTAAAGATGTTTTGATAAAGAATGAATGTAAATACTAAATTTTACCCTCATTCAATATGTTCTAGCGACGCCTCGGACATCATTATACTCAGGATAAGACAGGCTTTGGCAGTTCGCGACGACAGCAAAGGATTCTCTTGAAGACCTCTTGAAAGTTAGGATGCTTCAAACCATAGATAATGGGATTCACTACGCTGTTGGCCATCAGGATCGTTGTGGTATAGAGGGTCGAGACACTGTCGCCAGGCATGATGAAATTCACGCTACTGGCGAGGAAACAGAACATGAAGACACAGATAACTATGAACAAGTTTTTGGTGATGTCTATCTCCTTCTGGTTGATTGCCTTGATCATAGGAATATTAGACCCTGAGGTGGCGGATGCAGTCTTGCTCTGTAGCCCCTCCGTCGAGGTTGAAACGGTATCCCTATCGGTTGCGAACTTATTTCGGAACTGCTTATTGTGTAGCAACACATGGCGCAGAATGAGACCGTAAAACGTAAGGATGAGCATCAGGGCAATGACAATCGAAGTTCCTTGAAGAACAGAGTAGTAGAAGGTCAGAGGGTTTGTGTCTTTTAAAGAGCACATACCGTAGTACCTGGAATAGCCTAGAGTTCCGATGCCTAAAAGAGGAGGTACGACCATGAATGCAACTGCTTCAATCCAAATAATCACCGCTATGGTGGCGATTCGCTTCGGAGTGTGGATGCCTCGGTGGCCGCGTACAGATCTGGTAATGACGTACCAGCGGACGATTGAGATGATGACGAGGGTCATAGCACTACATCGCACGGCGGTGTATCCCACTCCTGCCGCCGTTGCGCAGATGATCTCGGGAAGCGGGTACCTTCCCGTTTGACTGAGGAGACCCACACTTAGGAATGGCAGGCACGAACAAAACAAAAAATCAGCGAAAGCGAGATTGACCACCAAGATGTTGGTGATCGTACGAAGTTTCTTGGTGATGATTACGGAAACGATGACCAGGCCATTACCGAACAGACCAATCATCGACAACAAGACAAACATCGACGCAACAATAGCTCGATGATAGAAAGTTACTACGGATGCATCTGTTGGGGTTCCTGGACTCGTCTCCATTTTAAATTATCGAGATCAAGCCACAAAAGTGAAAATTTGGTTTGCTAAAAACGGCTTTATGATGTGGTTTTTCCAAATATCTTTTGTTTTGAAATGATGACTAAAAGTTATTTGATATCTCGCAAATACGAGAGATCGATCCGGACAAGCCTCTTCTCTCAAACATAGACCTTTTCTTTCAAAGTTAAGGTGCAGTGAGTAGATGAGGTTATATGGATGAAATTTGTTAGCCGTAAACGAGCCTTTAGCCTGTGATATCACTCCTATGTTGAGATGTGGAAGTCAACATTCGCGGTTCGTAGTTTCTCTTTTAAAGCATTCAAAAATAAAATAATCGATAATATACGGATGATCGTAACAATTTTTTTTTTAAGTTAAAGAATTTTTAATAAGAATAAAAACTGCCAACTCTCTATCAGATAACATCACGAAATAAGAAGTTCATCATCAAATATCTTTGAAAGGACGGTGCACCAACCCATTAGCAAACAATAGACAAAGCAAAGGTATTTTATAGAGATGTATGCATATTGAATGCAATGATGTGAAAGGGGAAAGCTGCTAAGTCTTTAAGAAGGTTTTTTTTTTTTAAATCAGCCGAGAGCGTTTTCCTTCTCTTGTTCAAGATAGTCACGAGGTATATTTTCACCTCTCTGTCTACTATCTTTCTTTTTTCCATTCTCTAGTTCTGTCCATTTCTCTATCTGTCTGTCTGCATTATTGTTATGACTTTTTCTTTATTTCCAACCTCGCTGGTCTATTGGTATTTTGTTGTTGTTGTTGCTCTGTCGTTCTCTCGTTGTTACTCTGACAATAACCAATATTGACAGGAAGCGATTGCCTCGTATTAGCATTGCCAAAGTACCTGCGCAATAGTAGGTAGATAGTCACGTGGTTTTAATAATTACATCAAGAAAGCTAATGCAGTTCTTTCTTCCTGTACTTCTTCCTCTCTATCTCTCTCTTCAACATAAATACAGATAAGAATGTCTCGGGAATAAAGTTTTTCATCCCAGCACAAGAAGGCAAGGCGGGGGGGATGGTTTCCGCGAATTTCATCAGCTTCAGGAACAGCAAACATTATTTTAGACCGAAGTTATGACTATTTGTGTATATGTTCTTGCTAAAAATGGATCAACATTATTTGCTTTCTCAAAAACGAGGACGTATATCAATATCTGAATTGTAAGCAAAGATTTCAGGTTGGCACTATGATGTAATCTGCAAACTTTACTTCTTGTTATTGCGTTAAACTGCGAGATCCCTCGCAGTTTGGAACTTTGATTAAAATTAAAAGTTTCGTAATCACTAGGGCGTCCGCACTGTCCCTAATTTCAAGACGACTTCGAGAAGTTTACAACCAAGACCTAAACTTAAATTTAACGGACTGTCGTGTGGAACCTTTTAAAGAAAAAAACGTCATCGGTTCTTGCAATGACGTCATGTCATATATCAATGGCAAAGCTACTGGCGTATTAATGTCGTAAAATTCAATGGTTCCCATTTGTATTAGTCTAAACGCTGCACTCTTTGGACCTTCAGAGCCTAAAAGTGTGTTGCAGTCTTTAGTCAGTATTTGCTTTACATTGTTGTGTGTGCACTTTCCCAAATGTTTCGGTTGGGTCGATCCCCCCTAAAATAATTGAGGGGGGACGTGTCCCCCCGTCCCCCTCCCCCGGGATCGCCGCCCCTGCACATACTGCCCCCACAGGCAGAATTTGGAATATCTCCAAAAGCAAATCTGCTTATCATTTACATGTACCTATAGTTCCCATGAATTTATAAATGTTGCACTTGTATTACTAAGTTGCGCTGAACATTAATGCTATTACAGAGCACCAATACATGTTTCACAGAACCAGCGGCGTATACAGAAAAATGATGACCACTAGGTGTAATATTCTCTAAATGGGGCAGGGCAACGGTGTCGATTTGTATCCGTGGTTGGGAGGAATGATAGGTGTCAAAATATTTTCGGCAATGGATCAAAGAAACCAAGAGGTAGAAGCGTGTGGCAAGTTGCACCCCTTCCCTTACAAGTTATTAACCTTTTCAAGTCACCCTCATTATAGATAACACTTCAGAGAATATGGGACCATTTGCGTCCCATATGGGCTTGCAACTTGGGTTATTATCCTCTCAAGCGCGTAGCAAGGATTTTATTTAGGGGGCGGTAGTGAGCACGCGAATCACTCACAGGGGGTGGGTGCAGGGAGGGGGATATTAAATTATTAGGCAAAGAAGACGATTCGTTGTACGATTCTCGACTCTTAATCCTTGTCTGAATTCAGTCCCCCCCCCCCCCTCTCGCGCGAAGCGCCGAAACTTTGAAGTTTTATCAAATTATTAGGGAAAGGAGACGATTCGTTGTACCGTTCTCGACTCTTAATCCTTGTCTAAATTCAGTTCATTTTGACATTTCATTAAATTATTAAAAAAAGAAGACGATTCGTTGCACCATTCTCGACGATTAATCCTTGTCTGAATTCAGTTCCCCCCCCCCCTTTAGCTCGTTGCTTTTTAACGCTGCGGCTTTGCATTTTGCGCACTGCATTTCTATGATGCTATTGATTGAATAAATTGAATAAATTCATCAATTCAGATGAAGCCGTACCAGCGAGAATTCAATTTATTCTTGTCTCATATACGGTTGTCTCATGTACGTATGTATTATGAAAATGAGACATCAAAATGTGTATATTGATGGTCATCTTGCCAGTAATAGCCATTAATTACTCTCATCGGGCTCTCATCAATAATTGTTTTCTTCATTTTTTTAATTTATTTTTGATGGTGAATGATTGGGGGGGGGGGGGGGTGATTGTACAGGTCACTCCCCCCCCCCCCCACCTGAAATATTGGGGGGGGGGGGGGCGGGGGATATATCCCCCATCCCCCCCCCCCACCCCACCCCCGGATCGACACCCATGGGGCAGGGGGTAGGGAGGGTGAATGGTTGAAAAAAAAACGATTATTTAAGAGGCACAATAATAAACATGAAATCAAAACAGCCACTACACGACCCATTTCTTTCTCTGTTTTAAAAAGAACTTCAACAGTTTTGCTAGTTTTACCACCTTTTTTCTCCATCTGCGTGTGTGTGTGTGTGTGTGTGTGTTTAGGGGATGGGTGCGCGCGTTCGCCTTTGCGTGGGTGAGTGTCTGAGTCATGAGTCTGTGTCCACCCCTTACACGCTCTCTCTTCTATATAACTTATCCGATGTTCTACTTGTCGCTGTCAGGCTTCATAATTCTAATAGTCAATATTAATACTGCACTTGTCCAGTGACAACGAAAACTGTCTGGCCCAAATGGACTCTTATCTGCTATTATCTCTCTCATGGTTAAAGGCCACTAGTCTTTGTTGGTTTTCGTCAATACCATGGATTTACAATCGACAAGTAGACACAAATATTAGCTTTGGCATTGTTGTAAATCTAAGAAGATGAGTGGTAAAATCTGGAATGGTTTACCTTTTGCTCTTCAAAATGCTAAATCTATTGTTGTCTTCAAACGTACGTACAAGGACAATTTTTCTAAACCTGTTGACATTATTTTTGTTTCTCTCTCTCTCTCTCTCTCTCTCCCTTTCCCTCCCCTCTCTCCTTCTCTCTCTTTCTCTCTCTCTCTCTCTTTCTTTCTTTCCTTCTATACTCTCCACCAATGTCCATATATATTTTCTCCTCTTTTAATCCTTTTGGTGATATTTTAATGCGTTTTAAGTGATTTGATATTTTTGCGCTGTCAATTTGAATTGTGACATATCGTTTTTTATTTGTCTGTTGCTTTGTACTACTTTTAATAATTATTATTCTTATATTTTAGTTTCATGCTGTTTTTACCTTTGCTTGTGAGCTTTGATGTTTTTCATTATTTATATTTCCGTGTATTACATTTTTATTCAGTTCAGGATCAGGATGTAAAAAATTTTTGTGTCTACAATATACATCTGATTCTTGTTATACTGATTTAATATATTTCAACAACAAAAACAACAAAAATCATGTCAAGACGTGTTTCGATGCTAGAAAAAGTGGTCAAGTTGACCCCATCTACACAAAATGGTTAGGTCGGCAATTGTTTTGGCCAAAAAATGACCATTTAGTCCAAAAACAGGCCAATTTTTTCAGTCAAAAGCAATTCATGGATGAGTGTCATCCAAATCATCCACATTCAACATTAGATTGATTGTTTTAATATCGGCGCATATAAAAATATGCGCCGATATTAAAACAATCAATCTCATTGAATCTCATGAATTTACACGGTTCGGTTATTTGGTCGTCGGACCGTCATTTCGCTCGGTGGAAGTGTTTTGCTGCGCTTCACTGGTTTGGAAGATGTCGATCCGCGAGCTGAAAATTGGGATGTCTCGGCATGCCAGTGGGAACGCAATTAATTGTGAATCTATCCTTAACCTATTCATGGGGCTACATCTTTTTCCGAATCAAAATAAAGCTCATCTAATTCAAGATTTTCATCTTCCTATTTCGTAAGTCAATTATCATAGTAACCAAATTAAACGAAAAGTCACCCCCAAAAAGGAAATTCACCAATTTCTTAGTGTGTTTCCAAATGAGCATCCCTTGAACAATCGACATGAAATGATAATTAATAACCAAGGAATCATAGCAGCGAAATATCAAACAGATTTCGACTTATCAGAAATTTATTTTCAGATTAATATAAAACACAATATATCGCTCTAATAACTTGAATCTTTTGTAATATCACGATGGCGTCAGAAATGGGGAAAAATTTGAAAACACCTCTTTTTGGGCAACCGTCATCTCATATTCAATCATTGTATAACCATGGACCTATGGTATAACCAAAGATTCAAATTACATTGTATTTCAGCATGACAATGATTATACATTTGATTTATGGAGCCAGCAAATAGCAAGAGCTATTCAAGGTTGACCCTGTACCGATGCTACATAATCAATGACAATAAGTCAACCACTAAGAGTAAACATTGAGTCATAAAAAAGTATTTGGGGTTTGAAGTGACCTTCAAAAAAATTAAGATATGAAATATAGACACATAATAATTATATCAGCCGATCATATGTACACTATGCACAATCAAACTATTCATACGATCTGATAGAACTATTTATAGTAATTTTGTATTCATTTATAAATTCGTGCAGAGAGGTGCCTTTATTTGGGAATTTATCAATATCATTGTTAACATTGTGATTATAGCCAAGACAGTAACTCAACATTAATTTTTTTTAAGTATTTGCTATATTTAAAGGAACGGACCCCTCACTCCCCCAATCACAAGGTGCAGTTGCCGATATGTACAGTACAAGCTATAATTACATAATACCTAAAGTTAATTAATTTCAGAAATTTACTTAAGTTAATTCATGAGTTAATAATGTTTAAGTACTTGACTGGGTCCTGGGTTCGAGCCCCGTTAGGGCACATTATGTCCTTGATCAAGACATTTTATCTTCAAAGTTGTGAATTTTATTGTAAAGTTATAATCACCTTTCGTATGGGCACTGCAGTATTTCAAATTAGCTAATGTCACTGTGATGAAGTACCATTTTATTTGTTCTACACACAAAATGGCCATAGTTTAAATTTTTAAAGATGTATTGATAAAGAAGGTCTAATTTTCTTTTCTTTATTAAATATTTTTCTTTGTACACGACAAACGGGAGATATTATTATATTACTTCAAAATCCAGTGACCACAATCCAATATGAGATTCGCATAGATTTAGTGATTTCATGATATTTCCGAAATTTATAACCCTCTTATTTTTCTGCTTTCTCACAAATGTTTAAATCACACGTAAAGCCACGTTCAGATATGACTCGGCAAAACGTAGGTTTTTCTTTTAATGATGACATGTCAGGCATAAAAAAAAAATGTTGTATTGGATGCCAAAACATTTCTTTTTCTCCCTCTTTGGGTTGAAATAAAAAACAGTAATTTTTTTTTAAAGGCCGACCGTAGATTTCAAATATTTTGGGTCGGTTGCAAAGGGCAATACAACATCTTTTTTTAACGCCCGAGTTTAATACGCTTCTCCATATCTGTATCTTATAACTTATGGATAAGCATAAGACCTCTTTTACCTTTAATTTACATGTTAAACAAGATCCGGCGGTGGTTAAAAGCAGTAGTTTACAGCGTCATATTTGAACGAGCCTTGAGAAATAGCAAATAAATACAATTTAAATCCCACTACCAGATACAAGCTTAATCGATGACAAGTTATTCATTCACAGTTTCTAATGTCGAACATTATTTCCAACAATCTTTGTTCTACCTGCTCCAGTCTATAGAAAAAAGAGAGACTATTAAAATTGTAATCATTTCAGGTAAAAATGGAAACACGCATGTTCTGTTGGGTAAAATTTAAACCAATATCCGGTGAATGCCAAGACGATACTGTAGTATCCATATCATTTCTAATAACCTGCGCCAGGAGTGTCAAGTTGACAGATAGGGTGCGTTACAAATGGCCACTTTATCGTTGTTATACATTTAATGTTGTGTAAACCTTTATAAATATCTGGACACGCATGTATCTTATTTACCATACATAGGTTTTATTGGACTTATAATTCTTTTAGAGTGCACATAAAGTATCAACAATGCAACATGTTTGAAAGTACCCCCTCTTTGTGCAACAACAACTGTTTGACTACCACTTCCAATTTTTGCTACCATCATTAGACTTTAAGTTTCGATGGTTTTCGAATGTTGCTGTGGTACACGATTTATGCCCTTCTTTTGTTATTTTGTTGAATAGTTCTTTCAGTCAATTGTTCTCAATTCACAAAGATAAACATATGATAATATGAATAAATAAACATATTTACAAATGAAGGCGAACTGGGCAATTCACCCTCCACCGCTACAATTGTGCCTAACAACATTGCCTACTTGTGAGCTATAATTTACAGTATTATCATCTACCCTTGGCTCTTTTGAAAAATGTGAACGAAATACACTCCCGAATTTCACTATTCAGTATTTAATATTAAACAATAGTTAAGTGGTGGACGAGAACCTGCAGCAATGGACGAAGAAGCCTTGTCCTGATGTGCCTCTGTTGAGTTTGAACAGGTATGTTCATCAACTGCGTACTTATCTCGAAACTGCTTATTATGTCGCAAGACATGGCATAAGATACGAATGTAAAATACAAGGATGAACAGAAGGGCATTGGCAACCAGAGTCCCTTGAAGTAAGATAAAATAGAATTCTAGTTCGTTTGTATCTGTTAAAGAACATGTTCCATAGTATGTGGAATAACCGAATTTCCCGACGCCAACAAAAGGAGGTACGACCATGAAGGAGATCGAGAATATCCAGATGATCAAAACCATGATGGCGATTTTCTTCGGGGTATGAAGACCTCGATGACCACGAATGGATCTGGTGATGACGTACCAGCGGACGAATGCGATAGCGACTAGGGTGTGTACACTGCAGCACACGCTGATGTATCCTACTGCGGCAACGGTTGCGCACACCGCCTCGTCCAGAGGGTACCCTCCTGTTTGACTTAGGAGACCAGCGCTTTGGAACGGTAAGAGGATACATGCCATGAAATCAGCGAAAGCCAGATTGACCACCAGGACATTGGTGATCGTCCGGAGCTTTCTGCCAACGATGACTGAAATAATGACGAGGGCGTTACCAAATAGACCGACTAATGCGAATACGAGAAAAATGGCTGCAACAATTGCTCGATGTATGAAAGCAACGGCATTAATTTCTGATGTCACACTTGGATTTATCGTGGTCTTGTCCAAACTTGTTGAATCAACCTGTGTAACGACCTTTGATCCATAAAGAAAATAAATATATGTTGCGTTTTCCATTACAAAATATCAATGAAGGCCACCGTTCCGCTGCAAAATATGTGTCTCTTCTTAATGATGGAAAGAATTAAAAAGTAAGACCACATCTTAAAAGTATCCTGACACGCGAAGCTAAATGGCAAAAAAAAACTGAAGTTTTATTCTTATATCTTAATTATCATGCAAAGACAATATTGAAGGCAACACAAGGTAAACCCCCATGACATTTACACCAGCCTGTTGCACTGACCAATACGTAATATTCATTAGGCTTGCTCACGGTTAACATTCAGACTTGAACCTTGAAACTTGAACTTGAATATGACAGTTTTGTTTCCTGAAGATTTCTATTAAAAAATCGCGGATTATATGCCAGATTTCAGGATTATTAACAGAGTCCATACGTGTGCAACTGCACAATAGCCCATTTCAAATCCCCTTTATGTCGTCATTGAATTTGTAACGGATTTATTGCCTCGGGCAAAAAGTGCCTTCGTTCAATGATTACAATATCTATATTAACATGAGTGTCGCCTCTCTGTCAAGCACGACACGGCTTATTATGTTCTCGATCAAGACATTTTATCTAGAGGCGTTGTGGTCGAGTGGATATCTCACCGGACTCTGGATCACAAGGGCCTTGGTTCGCGTCCCGCCGCGTCAATAATTTCATTTGGCAAGACGTTAATCTACATTTGCCACACTCGACCCAGGTGAGATTAATGGGTAACAGGCAGGAATTATTTCCTTGAAATGCTAGAGCGCCGTAATGGCAGCCATGCTAAAGCCGGAGTAATCATTTCCAAAGCTCTTTGGAAGCGCATTCAAACGTTATAATGTAATATGCGCTATACAAAACCGATTATTATTATTATTATTATTATTATTATTATTATTATTATTATTATCTAAATTGCTCCTCTCCACCCAGGTTTAAAACGGGTGCCCGTTGGGATGCGAACGTCATTATGTTCGGGTTAACATGTGAGTGCCCGTAAAAAAGACACTATATCGTGTGAGTTTTAAAAAAGTTTACACGCAGAAAATTGTCATTCATTTTAAAAGTCAGGTACCATTTTAGTGTGGTATGTGTTCACGCTTGGATGAACAAGAGGCATTATTTGCGAGAGTGCAAAAATCGGCTTGCGCAAAAGCATTAACGTGAGAGAATGATTTGAATGTATCAAATGAGATGCATTGCATATGCTTTGCAGAAGCAAAGCCACACACACACACGCACGCACACACACACACACGCGCGCGCGCGCGCACAAATGATCTTTGATATTTGACATGTGTGGCATGATTAATGTTGTTAGGGATGTATTTGGTTCTGCAAAGACCGATCGAATTATAAGCCGAATCCCAATCGTTTTATTCAAACATCACGTAAGTATTACTTTGGCGCCAGTCGATTTTTGCACTCTCTTAAACGATGTCTCCTGTCCATCCAGAGTGAACACATACCAGACACAAATGATTTGGGATAAAACATTATTTCATAAGATGTATAATAGTTTACTATTCATAGATGATTTTTAAGTGCTTATCCCACAACCTAAACATACAATTCTTCTCCTGTGCTACAAAGCTATCAATGGCTTAGCCCCCTCTTACCTTTCCGATCTCATATCCTTACGTTCCCGTACGTCGTCACGAACACTTCGTTCATCTTCCACATTACTGTTAACACCTGGACCCCGCACTAACACCCGGTATGGTGACCGCGCCTTTTCAGTTATTGCCCCCGCTCTCTGGAACAAACTGCCCGCCTTTATTCACTGCGCCCCCTCTGTATCTCAATTCAAATCTCTACTCAAAACCTATCTTTTCAAATTGTAAATTGCAGTTGTGCGTCGGTCAATGGAGGTGCGCACCATATTTGTCTTTATTTAGTTGATTGCCACTGTTTTTCTTACCTTATCTATGTTACTTTTGTATTTTTGCTTTTTCTTCTAATTTAATTCTACGGGTTATAGTCTTCTCTTAATCAGAACACTGTGCGCTTAGAAACATCAGTATTAAGCGCCTAATAAATGTTATGTATTATTATTATTATTAATACCCTTAAGCATACTAAACATGTATAATAAACATTTTTTATTTTAAATATAATTCAATCCTATGAGGAGAAAAAGGATATAAATAAAACTGAATTCAAATAGTTATTGGCTATTCACTCTGTGCCTTAATACCGTCAAAGTTCAGTGTTTACTTTACGTGCTCGACAATTATTTGAAAATTTGTAATTTAAATCTAGGTCAGAGCCGATATGAATGCTATACAAGAATCCAATATCATTATTATCATCATTATTGTTTTCACCAGCACGCTTAGAGAAACATCCAACCTGAATAATCAACTACACAAAAGGAAGCAGGAAAATCAGAGAAGCCGAAAAGTGAAAGTTGCATAAAATAGGACACAAAAAAAGAAGAAAGTTGTTCTTTTTGTTGTAAAGTTGTAATCACTTTTCCTATGGCACCGCAACACTTCAACTTAGCTAATGTCACCGTGATGAAGTGCCATTTAATTGTCTCCACACACAAAAGGGTCAATAGACAAAGTGTCAATTTTTCAAGATACATCACTCAGAGCGTCTTTTGTTTCCTTTGCACACGGCAAACGGGAGAATTGCCATTATATGACCTCAAAATCCAGTGACCAAAATCCATTTTTATATTTGCATGGATTTAGGGATCTCACAATATTAACGACAATCAAAGCCTCCTTATTTTCTTACTTTCACACAAATAGACATATTACAAACGTTAGATTGCTCCTTTGAAACACATGTAAAGCATCGTTCAGATATAACACTGCAATACTTCGGTTTTGGGGTTGAATGATGACATGAGTGTTATGCGTTTTCCTATTTCTATATCTTATATCTTATATGTTAGATTGATAAGCGGAAAACCTTTGTTTGGGCGCTGTTGCCATTTATCTATACGTTAAACAAGATCTGGTGGTGGTTTAAAGCGGTGGTTTACCGCGTCATATTTCAACGAGCCTTAAGAAATAGCAAATAAATACAATTTAAATCCCACTTCCAGATACAAACTTAATCGATGAGAAGTAGTTCAATCGCAATTTCTCATGTCCATCATTTTGACCAACACTCTTTACTCCACCCGCTCCATTCAAAATGTGTAATAAAACAGTTTTACATTACATTAGAGAAATAAGAAACCCCCATCTATCATCACAGTCTTTAAAAAAAAATAGACGCGTAAAATTGTAACTTTGTTTTGTAGAAATGGAAACATGCATGTTTGTTGGGTAAAATTTTAACCAATATCCAGTCAAATTCTTTTTAAAAAAATTGTAAACATCTGGACATGCATATATCTTATATTTCCTAACATAGGTTATATTGGACCTGTAATTATTTAAGAGAGTGCCTAAAGTATCAACAATGCAACATGTTTTGAAATACCCCCTCTTTTTTTGCAAAAACCTGTATCCCTTTTCCAACTTTTGCCACCATCATTAAAATTTGATTTTCGATGGTTTTCGATGGGTAGTTTTGGAAGGGTCACACTTTTTCCTGTTCACGTGATTTTGCCCCCTTTTCAGTAAAGTGTACTCAATTCGCCAGCGAAGAGCCTGCCATGAACATTCAGATTGGTCTCGCATGATGCCTATCCTACGGGACGACAGCAAAGGATTTTGTTGAAGACCTCTTGAAAGTTGGGATGCTTGAGCCCGTAGATAATCGGATTGAATATGCTATTTGCGAACAATATCATGGTACTGTAGAGAGTAAAGACGCTGGTACCAGGGATGATGAAATTCACAACGGTGGCTAGGAAACAGAGCATAAAAACGCAAACGACCATGAAGAGATTCTTCGTGATCTCGATCTCTTTCCGGTTGATGGCCTTGATCATAGGTGGACGAGAACCTGCAGCCATGGATGAGGAAGCCTTGTTCTGATGTGCCTCTGTTGATTTTGAACCGGTATCTTCATCAACCGCGTACTTGTCTCGAAACTGCTTATTGTGTCGCAAGACATGCCATAAGATACGAATGTAAAATACAAGGGTGAGCAGGAGGGCAATGGCGACCAGAGTCCCCTGAAGAACGACATAATAGTCATCTAGTTCGTTTGTATCTGTCAAGGAACATATGCTGTAATATTCGGAATAACCGAGTGTTCCAATGCCAAGAACAGGAGGTATGATCATGAATGAGATTGAGAATATCCAGATGATCACAACCATGATGGCGATTTTCTTCGGGGTATGAAGACCTTGATGACCACGAATAGATCTGGTGATGACGTACCAACGGACAAATGCTATAGCGACTAGGGTGTATACACTGCAGCATGCGCTGATGTATCCTACTGCGGCAACGGCTGCGCACACCGTCTCATGCAGAGGGTACCTTCCTGTTTGACTTAGGAGACCAGCGCTTTGAAACGGTAAGTAGGTACATGCCATGAAATCAGCGAAAGCCAGATTGACCACCAGGACATTGGTGATCGTCCGAAGCTTTCTGCTAACGATGACTGAAATTATGACGAGGGCGTTACCAAATAGACCGATCAATGCGAATACGAACAAAATGGCTGCAACAATTGCTCGATGATTGAAAGCAACGACACTCAATTCTGATGCCACACTTGGAATTTTCGTGATCATGTCCAAACTTGTTGAGTCATCCTGTGTAACGACCATTGATACATAAAGAAAATAAATGTCTGTCGCGTTTTCCATTATAGAAAAGGGGAAAAAGGCTACTGTTTCGCTATTGCGTATGGTTGATTCTTAATAACTGAGAAAGTCAACAACTAAGACCACACTAACCTTTCAAAGCGTCCTAGCAAGCGAAGCGAAGTTTCGAAATGAACGTTCCGGAAGGTAAATAGCAACGAAAACACGTTTTGTTCTAATATCTTTATTAGAATGCAATGGCAATATTGCAGGCAACACAAGGTAGACCTCCTTTTAACTTACACTAGCCTTTGCTCTGACCAATACGCTATATCCATTAGGCTTGCCCACGGTTAACATTACAGTTTCCTTCCTGAAGATTTTTCTTTAAAAGGTCCAGAATTATTAGCCAGCGTTTAGGATGATCAGCCACAGTTTATACTGCCCAATCACCTGTTTCAAGTCCTCTTTATACTGTAATTGAATCTGTGATCGATTTATTGCCTTGTGCGAAGTATGCCTTTGTTAAGTGATTGCAATATCCATACAATCGCCCATTAGTGTCGCCTCTCTGTCAACTGCATGTGATTAGATCCACAATTTGCTGCCTTTTGAGCAATTTGGTTAATATTCAGCTTTGATTGTCATTACGCACCAATACATGGATTGTCGGTTTTAACGCACCATCAATCAAACCAAGTTCAGGTAAAAAAAACAATACACAAATCATTTCATTCGGAAAGAAAAACGTTAAAATGGCCTTGAAAGAAAATACAAAGATTAGACAGGACAACTTCACGAGAGAAAGTAAAGGTGTCGAGAAACAGTGCTTGAAGCAAAATAGAACACTACATCTTGATTTTGTTATCATTGCCATATTTTATTTATTGATTCGTCCAGTCATCGTTCCGGTTACAAACCGCATTAAATGAACTAAAAAGAGCAAGACTCTGTTTTTTCATGAGTACAAGTGCATAATTTCAAAGACTATATTCTATACTAATAAAAAAAAGTTGCAATTCAGTAAGGAACATTGTACTTAAGTAAAAGGGTTAAAAATGAATGGGATATAATTTATGAAAGGTGGCCATTTAAGTGATATAATTAGATGATTAAAATACAATTTATGCAATAATCGAGTCGTATGCTCAGAAAGAGTAAGGACGAATACAGTCTTCACTTCCTAGTGAGAAATAGGGTGTGAAAGTCAGGGTAATATTCTTACAAGGGGTTCGCAATATAGAGAAGAAGAGCGAGAGAAGAACGCTAGAGGAAAAGGGTGGATGTGTGTATACGTGTAGGGGGTGGGGAGAAAGATGTACCAAATACATTCACATAGAATTTTTTGTAAAGCTGAAGGAAATATTTTAGTTATACTATACTCTTTAAGCTTACTAGACATGCATAATATACAACGTTGAATTAAAATACAATAAATTGTACGAAAAGATAAACTGAAATCAATTAGTTCTTGGCTATCATTACTGTACCTAACACCGTCAAAGTTCAATGTTAGCTTTACGTGCTCGACAATTATAAGAACATTTGTATATTTAAACCTCGGCCAGAGCGTACATAAGCGCTATATAAGAATCGACTTTCATTATTAACATCATTATTTGTATCACCAGCAGGCTTAAAGAAATATTAAACCTTAATAGATCTGCTTACCAAAGTAAGCAGAAATAATCAGAGAAGCGGACTAGTGAAAGGGGCATAAAATGGACAAAAAATAAGAAAGCTGTGCAATTTCTTGTACTCAGGAGGGTGTTTTCTTGTTAGCGGACTTGTAATAATATGCTATCCATTATATATTTTGAGTAGTAACCAAAGAGAGATAAACATAAATTAGTGATATTTTTCGTTTACGACAAACAGGAGCGTTGTCCCTAAATTACGTCAAAATCCAATTTGAGATACGCGTACATTTTGTGATCTCATAATATATGCGACATTCATAACACTCTTCATTTCGGCTTTCACATAAATAAAAGGTACTATTACAAACGTTAGATTGTCCCTTTAAATCACATGTAAAGCATCGGTTAGATATGACGCTGCAAGACCTCGGTTTTTTGTTTTAATGATGACATGAATGAGTGTAATACGCTTCCATATTTCTGTATCTTATAATGTATGGTTAAGTGGATAAGCGGAGGACCTTTGTATATATTAGGCGCTGTTGCCATGTATCTACACGTTAAACAAGTTCCGGCGATGGTTTAAAGCGGTGGTTTACCGCGTCTTATTTGAACGAGCCTTAAAGATAAAGACCAGTTATGGTCATGCGATTGCATTGTGAAAGAAACGTTGTGGAATCGATCAGAAAAGGTTGATCATCTAGCATATAAGTATTGGTGTGTACTGCAAGGTTCTGGAATCATCAATATGATAAGAAATTTGACCCAGTCTTGGTAAAGTTACAAGCACTGTACACAGTAAGATGTATATGGGACTACGCACACGTGCGCGACACGTACGTTTATCTCTCACATACCAATTGATGAACTAATTTACCAAATATATCAATTAGTAGGCGGTTTCCCGGCAAAATTGTTATCGTCATGTATTAGTAAAAACATATTCTTTCACATGATTGGTATTAAATAAGAGCTTTATTTTCATCTTTTGAAATTGGGGCGTTTCCAATACTGGTCTTTACCTTTAAGAAATAGCAAATAATAAATTTTAAATCCCACTACCAGATACAAGCTTAATCGATGAGAAGTTGTTCAATCACAGTTTCTAATGTCCAACATTATTACTAACAATCTTTGCTCTACCTGCTCCATTAAAAATTGCTCATGAAACAGTTTTACATTACATAGGACAAACAAAGAAACTCCTATATATCATCGCAGTCTTTAAAAAAAAAAAGAGAATCGTAAAATTGTAACCATGTTAGGTAGAAATGGAAAGATGCATGTTTTGTTGTGTAAATTTCAATACTCTGGACAGCGAGGAAGAGAAGATGTGTTATTTTGTGTCCTGTAAAATACTGGATTTAACAAAAACTTTCACTGTTTGATCCATATATGGATATGTGAGGCCTTTGTCTAGTGTTAAGGCACTACTTGGAGAGAGTTCACAGATCAACAGATGACTGGAAACTGAGAATTTGAAGCTAGAATTCACATCCAAATCTGGACTTCTGTAGCTGTGGACACATTTCAGTCCCATCCCTTTATTTTCCTGAAGTGAACATCCACCTTTTGCTGTTATCAACATCCCTGGTCGTGGAAGTAAGGGAAAGGCGAAGAAGGATAATATGCCTGGAATGTTTCTCCGAGGAGCCGCTCAGGGCCAGGCAACACCCCCATCACCACAGCGCCCATTTGTGGTCAACAATGATGTAGATCGCAAGGTCGCCTCTCAACGAGGGATGGCAGCTGCAGCATCTCCGGAAAAGAAGGGGATTTTCGTTGATATAGGAGATCATCTAGAAGAGTTGGAGATTGGCGAATATGGCATGATGGGAGATGTTGTGAAACAGGCAGTTGAGGCAGCAGTAAAGGCAGCCGTTCCTGCTATAGTTCAGGCAGTGAAAGAGGTGTGCCTGCGGTCATTTAAGGAGGTGGTCAATCCCCATCTTCTCCACCTCCAGTTTCGACAAGATGCAATAGAGCAGGCTGGCAGGAAAGATAATTTGAGGATCAGCGGTCTGGCTGAGGAGGAGAGGGATGAGACAGAGGAGATCCTGATCGAGAAAATCTGTAAGGTGGCTGGGGAGACCGGGATGCAGCTTGCAGAGAGCGACATCTCGGCTTGCCATCGCCTTGGAAGGAAGGTGGCGGGGAAGAAGCGCGACACCGTCGTGCGCTTTGTCGCCCAACGTAAGCGAGACAAGGTCTACCAGGGGCGTTTCCACTTAAAGGGGAAGGAATCCTTTAGGCAGGTTTTTGTGAACGAAGACCTCACCTCTACTCGCTATGCTGTCTTGATGGCAGCAAAGAAATCTACAGAGGTGAAATCTGTATCAACGAAGGCAGGGAACATCGTCTGCAAAATGAACGATGATACCTTTAAGATAATTTCAACCCCTGACGACTTGTTCGCAGTTGGTTTGGATAATATCGAATACAAAAACTTCAGACTCCGCTTGTTGGAGTAATGTCTCCTCATAATGTCCTTTTTTTTCATGATACAAATATTCTAATAATATGTTTGATAACACTGTATCACATTCTTACAAGTTATGTCCAAATTCATTTGATAGTACATTGCCACTTGACGGTAAAAAATCAATTAGTATCTCCCATGTAAATGTACGTTCGCTAAACAAAAATGTTGATTCCTTAAAGTTGTTATATGAAGATTGCGTTAAGTTCAGATTCGATGTAATTGCATTATCAGAAGTATGGAGAGTTTTAGAAAAATCGACCTTGGAAATGGAAGGTTATTTATTGGAGGTAAAGTGCCGGGATGGTAGAGAAAGAGGAGGAGGGGTAGGAGCTTATATTCGTTTTAATTTGAAATATGTCGTGAAAGATTATACAGTGAAGCATACAGAATCAATCTGGTTTGAAATAAACAATGGAGAATTTCAAAAGGTGATGGTAGGTGTTTTATATAGGAAACCAAATACAGATGTTAAAGAGTTTCAAGAAAGTCTTCTCACAGTTTTAGAAGACATTAAAGTCGACAGACGCAATACCATTATAATAGGAGATTTTAATATAAATTCATTAAGTTCAGACGGAACAACAGAAGGGTTTTCAACAGCGATGAAATGCGTAGGAATGGAGCAGAAAATAAAATATCCAACAAGAGTAACCAGTGAGTCTGTAACCTTATTAGACCATATATACACTAATATGAACAAGTATGATAATCACTCGGGTGTTATAGAATGTGATATTTCTGATCACTACCCTGTGTTCATGATTTTAGAAAATCCATGTAATTTGAAGCAGCTGCATTATCCACAAACTGTAACTTACAGATGTTATAAAAACTATGATGTACAAAACTTTAAAGATGACCTTGCTGAGCAAGAATGGCAACATATCAATAGCTGTGAAGAT